AATTAGTACAAATTGCTTCACCCAGTCTGTGCCTCAGTTTTCCCATTTAGAAAAATGTAACATGACAATATTTGCTCTACCTCGACTTAGAGGATGTTTTAGGGATCAAATTGATGTGAAAGTGCATTGAAAAGTGAATTATATACAAACAAAGGATACTTGACTATGCCATGGTTTCAGAAGACCTTATTTGCAGTGCTACACAGTCTTCGGGTATTTGTGGTCACACAGATAAGAAAGATTATTTTTGGCTATAACTTGTTTCAGACTTCTTGGTACAAAAGGGTGCGATTCCAATTTCGCATTCTTCTGACTTCACTTTCTCCTGTTTCTTCATGGCCTCCGACCAACCTTACACAAAACAGAACCCCNAATTAGTACAAATTGCTTCACCCAGTCTGTGCCTCAGTTTTCCCATTTAGAAAAATGTAACGTGACAGTATTTGCTCTACCTCGACTTAGAGGATGTTTTAGGGATCAAATTGATGTGAAAGTGCATTGAAAAGTGAATTATATACAAACAAGGGATACTTGACTATGCCATGGTTTCAGAAGACCTTATTTGCAGTGCTACACAGTCTTCGGGTATTTGTGGTCACACAGATAAGAAAGATTATTTTTGGCTATAGCTTGTTTCAGACATCTTGGTACAAAAGGGTGGATTCCAATTTTGCATTCTTTTGACTTCACTTTCTCCTGTTTCTTCATGGCCTCCGACCAACCTTACACAAAACAGAACCCCACAAAGAAGGCCATTCTGTCAATATCTACCTCACTACCTGTTGTAGCTAAGTCTCCTTTTGTTTTAGGAAATCTCTACCAAGCATCTAGTTCCTTGTTTCTTAATAAATAACAGAAATATTCAGATCCAATAAAGACATGATCACAGAGAGGTCAATCTATTATCAAACTGCTCCTCTCATTCCTTTATGTAGGAAGAATAAACCAAAAAATGAATAAAATTAGGTGACTCAGAACTGAGACTAAAAAGAGCTCTTTGGCCCTACTTTTTCTTATTGCTTTGCTCCTTAAGTTTTTTTGCAAATACTCAGCCCTTGNTTGGCCCTACTTTTTCTTATTGCTTTGCTCCTTAAGTTTTTTTGCAAATACTCAGCCCTTGGCTCCTGTACATATAAAAGCTGCTGAATATTTGGGAAGGAATTGGGACTAAAATGGACAAGGTACACAGGGGGAATGGTAGGTGCCTTGGGACTTAGGTCAATCTTGTAATGAAAAAAAAGCAAAAAAAAAAAAAAAAAAAAAAGCACTTGAACAAGAGATTCTAACACAGACTCTTCTTAATGGGTTTCTTCTTCCTATATTTAACATATTAAATTTCCTACCACCCAGTATTAATGCTGTATATGTTAACTAATACATTGTTTCTTTGCTCCTAACAAGAAACTCAGATAGGTATTATGTATACAGTTCGGTTAAAGAGAGATGGGAGGAGTTATAAATTGCTTTTGGTAAGTAAAATCTAGTAGACCAAAGCTTTCAAATATGTTTCAGAGATTAGTTATAAGGAATCTTTAGGCGTTACATAAAAATTCTGATCCACAGTATCATGTTTAACTCTTGGTTAGTGCACTATATGGATACGTGGCTAATTTTTATGTCAGTTACTCAAAAGCCACATATAAAATACATTCAACTGTATTGTTTGCACTTATATTTGGACAAAGATACATCCAGAGCTCTAGAAATTAGGTTACACAAGGAAAACATGCTAAGATGACAATCTTAGAAAAAGCAAACATTTAAAGTTTACCCATCCTTTTCTTTGCCCAACTCTGCCCTCCACTCCTGAAACCATCCTGGTGACGGCTGGGATCATATGTGGCACAGATACCCCCTCCAGCACTTTGTAAGAAAAATGACATTTTAGTTTAAAAGGTATCGTGTTAGTTGTATGCTGGAGGGGGAAAGAAACAAGATATTTTTAATACTGACAACCAAGGAATTATCACTAATTAAGCTTAACTGTGTCAAGGAAAGCCTGAAGATTTCTTAGNAACCAAGGAATTATCACTAATTAAGCTTAACTGTGTCAAGGAAAGCCTGAAGATTTCTTAGGATAACCTACCATCTCAAATAAACTGCAAAAGCTTTCTTCCTTCTGTTCTGTTTGGTTTTGTTATGCCAATATGGAAAAAATTCTAAAAGTTAGTAACAACGCAAACATATTCAACTGCAGTTCGTGTAGACTTTATTCCGTATCCAGCCTTCCAATAAAATCAATTAGTTCCTCCCATCATTTTCATGATTCAGGAATAGAAATCATACTTATCTTTATACAGTACAGTTTTCCATCAAACACCAACATCCTACCTCAATTTCTTTTCCCATGAGCCATGATTCTTTAAGCATGCACGATTCAGGTGTGACCCAGGAACTCTCTTTTGAATCAGTGTTGTAATAGTAGTCATACTTGTCCTGCAGGGTGAGTTTGAGCCATGAACCTTCACTAGACACTAAAGAAAAAAGTTTGTTAAATTCTACATAGGAACACGAAACCCTTAAACATTAATGTAGTTTCCTCAATATATAAAATAAACAAAGGAATATGATTTTCACCAAGCATTCAGATGGTCTAAGTTAAAGTCATTAGAAATGACCCACTAAAATGAAATTAATTGTACGTATTAATGGCAGCTCCCTACTAAGCCAAAGAAAAGGAGAAGAAACAAATGTCTAATGCTAGCTCTGGATCCCAAATCTTTCAGGAGGACGGTAGGGGCCAAAAATGGCCAAAGAGAAGGAAAAGTGAGTCAGGAATAAATGTGCTAGCTAGATGTGAATGACACCACAAATAGACAAAGGAGACTGATAAGCAAGATTCTCTTTATTTACGGGCCGGCCCGGTGGTGCACTGCTACAGTGCGCCGCTTGGGAGCATGGTGGTGCTCCCGCCGAGGGTTCGGATCCCACATACAGACCGGTTCCCGCTCACTGGCTGAGCGAGGTGTGGGAGCAACACCAAGCGTTGCGATCCCGTTGCCGGTCCCGGTCCGGTACGGGCGTGACACTGAGGGTTGCGATCCGTTGCCGGACACGAAAAAAGACAAAAAGGAAAAAAAAAAAAAGATTCTCTTTGTTTACAAAGTCTTACAACAATTTCTCCAATATGGATACAAGGACTGTGATTGATATTTAGGGAGGGCCAACAATCTGCATCAAACCAAGCAGAAGTGAGTCATCTTTGGAGACAATTTTATCCAAAATACAAAATGGCATGTGCATAGCATAAAGGCCAACTAATGTATTCCTGGTTCTTCTGACTCATCTTGCTGTATATAACCACACAAAATGGGGGGGGGGATGTTAAAAGGACTTAATTTGGTGTTTGTGGGGTTGGCGTGCTAGAAAAATCTACGACAGTCACGGCTGAAATTGGTCAAGAAGAACGTGTCCTCCTCATAAATCGATGGGCTACACTTCATATTTAGGAATCTGTTTATTTTGTCAAATTGTCATGATCTCTGTCCAGACTATAGAACTAAAAATAAGAAAATAATTTAAAAGGTTCTGACTTGGACTAAGCTAAGTCAATTGCTACCAAGTAAGCATTAGACTCATTGCCTTTATAGGTAAATCAAAGTTCAAGCGAATTTCTTCATAGAATATTTAAATGCATTCAAATAACTAAGCAGAGGTAACTTGAAGGTCTTTTAATATGTGCTGATTCTTTTTTGTTGTAAATGCCTCTCGTGCTGTTTCTATGAGTATTTGTCAGTGCCCAATAAGAGAGATGTCTCTCTTTTCAGATGGGCAGTCAGACAGCTGTTCATCTGTTCAGAAATGCTGGTCTACTAGAAAATATATTGTTGTAAAATCAAGTTAGGATGTTCATAAGTAATTACTATATTTCCAACCGGCAATAATTGTCAGATCCAAAAATGCTTTCAGAAGAATAATCACCCTTCTTAAGGCAACTCTCTCAGTGGGAAGGAGAGAGGGCAAGCAAAGATGGTGAAAATGTATACCTTATTTGTGTAAGAACTGAGAAGTCAAAAGGTCTTAGTTGGTTAAAAGCCAAGCACATTGGCTTGAAGGCTTTATTTGGGTTGGGACGTCAGTGTGCAATGGGAAAGGAGAATTCCTGTCATTTTCACATCTAGTTTGAATTTATACTTAGACCAGAGGCTAAGGACCCTGTGGTTTACAGCACAGGGTCCAAATATTTTACCTAACAAACGTAGATGGTTTGTTACTTAGGGAGAAGACTAATCACAGACCTTTGAGGAAACCATAAAAGAGAAAGATTCCAGTTAGTTAAGAGATGGTGAGCATTCTAAAAGGAGACATACTTTCTAGATATCTTCCAAGACATAATTATACCTACGTATAGGAGCTAAATTGAGTTACAAGGCTAAGTGATCCACCTAATGATAGATACTTCAGCTTGGGAAACAATAGACATACTACAACCAGAGTGAAAGAGATAGTAAATCATCCTGTGCACTCCCAAAAACAATGTTCACTGCTCTATCTGGGGGTGAAAGTCAGTCTTTAATTGCCTGGAAAGTTTCTCTTCTTCTTTCTAGAACAGGGGTTGGCAAACTTTTTCTGTAAAGGGCCAGATGGTAAACATTTTCAGCTTTGCAGCCTATAGGTCTTTGAAACAACTACTCAACACTGCCACTGTAGCATGAAAACAGCCATAGACAATATATAAATTAACAAGCATGGCTGAGTTTCAATACAACTTCATTTAGAAAAACAGGTGGCAGCACAAGGATTACCCTAAAAAACTATTAGTATAAATGAGTTCAGCAAGGTTGCAAGATACAAGATCAATATATCAAAATCAATTATGTGAGAAGGTATGTCCACACAAAAACTTGAACACAAATGTTAATAGCAGTGTCATCCAGAATAGCCAAAAGTAGGGGGGAAATCCAAATTCCCTCAACTGATAAATGGATAAGCAAAATGTGGTACATCTATACAATGGAATACTATCAGCCACAAAAAGGAACGAAGTACTGATTCACACTACAACATGGAAAAGCTTTGAAAACACTATGCTAAGTAAAAGAAGCCAAACACAAAAGGCTATATATTGTATGATTCTGTTTATATAAAATGTCCAGAATAGGCAAAAACCACAGAGACAGAATGTAGATTAGTGGTTTCCAGGGGCTGAGTGGGGGTGTGGTAGGAAGTGACTGCTAATGGGTACAGGGTTTTGTTTTGGTGTGATAAAAATATTCTGGAATTAACTAGTGGTGCTGGATGTAAAACTTTATGAATATACTAAAAACCTCTGAACACCTTGTACACCTTAAAAGGGTGAATTTTATGGCATGGGAATTATATTTCAATAAAAAAATCAACTGTATATCTAAATGCTAGCAATAAACAATACCAAAATGTAATTAAAAAACAATATTTACAGTAGCATAAAAATGATAAAATACTTAGGAATAAACAAAGGAAATGCAAACCTTATACACTGAAAACTACAAAACACTGTTGAAAAAATTAAAGAAAACCTAATTGAAAGGAAAGACCTTCCATCTACATGGATCAGAAGACAATATTGGTAAGGTGGCAATACCCCTCAAATAGATTTACAGATTCAACACAATCCCTAACAAAATTCCAACTGCTTTTTTCCCCCCAAGAAGAATGACTCTAAAGAACTTCCTAGGTTTCAGAATTGGACCCCTGGAGATATTTCGACTCCATTTACCAAAACATGGCACATGGGAAGAGGAGGAGGAAAGTTTAGGAGCGAGAAACAAAGTTTGGGCCAGGACGGATTTGAAATTATAATGGGTCATCTAGGAACTCAACCTCTGCATTAATACAGTTGCACAATTCTTTTCCAATTAAGTACAAGGCAGGGGACACCACAGCAACTCCTGATGAGATGTGAATGGATCAGAGAGGGGCTCAAGGGTGACCAGACATCAAGGAAAAGAGGGTGGTCAATAGTGCTTCTCACATTTCATTCACAGAAAATTTGCTGAATTGGAGGATAGAATTTCCAAGTTGGAAATACATGAGATGGACTTAAAAGTAAGTACAAAGGATACTACTGGACAGACTTCCAATTGAACTAAAAAAAGTTTTTTTTCTGAAGTTCCATTTTTATTGTAACATAGTTGATTCTACATATTTGTAGGGTATTCAGAGTTCCACTCCTAAGGCCATATACTGTCACAGTAGTTTTTAAAAAGTGGATAGTATTACGTAAAAGCACTACATTGTGGTGCAGATAAACACCAGCCTGGAAATCAAGAGCCACCTTGATCTTGACTCAAGGACATCCACTGGAAGAATTATGGATTAAAAATTACTTCTCCTTGGGTCTGCCCGTAAAAGCACTACATTGTGGTGCAGATAAACACCAGCCTGGAAATCAAGAGCCACCTTGATCTTGACTCAAGGACATCCACTGGAAGAATTATGGATTAAAAATTACTTCTCCTTGGGTCTGCCATTTTCTCCCTCTGTCTGAAATCTCATCAATATGAGTTTCCAAATCCAAAAAATAAGTATTAGGCTGTATGATCTCAAAGAGACTTTCCAGAGCTAACATTTCATGATCTGCCATAGGATTGAGTAGGCATAAATATTTGCCAGGTTACTGATCTGATCCCTTGCAGGCCAGTTTACTACACTTTATTCCATATATTCAGAATTACTTTTTACCCCCCTTAATATTGTGCAATCATGTTTTATTTGTTTCCCAAAGGATTAACTGAAAAAAATACTAGTGTAAAAATCTATTTATACCACTGGAGGAACAAATCAACAAGCATGGCCCATATAAGGCAAAGATTTCTCAAATACAACATTTTCTCAATTCTATAATGCCATTCATGCATTGCCTCTGAGTTAATCATAGCTTTCCAAACAAAAAGAAGCATCTAAAAAATTTCCTTTGCCATAAATTAGAATAAACATTTCAGAAATGTTAATTTGAAAGCAATACTTGTCCTAAAATTAAGAAAATACAATAGTACAGAAACCATCATATTTAAAATGATATTTAGTTTGTGCTAAGTAATGAAAAAGCTTACCACTTTCAGATTTGAGCTCTTTTGCCTTCATGAGGGCATCATAGTATCTGTCAGCACATTCAGGGATTACGTCATTTGCCTTACAAGTGGAAGACTTCAATGCAGACAAAATATCACTTGATTTTTTCTCCTCCAAACACTGATTAACATCAATAACCAGAGTAACCCCTGGTTAAAATAAGAAAATTCTATTAATAAAAAAATTTTTCTATTAATGGCTACCTTCTACTTACTCCAAAGGTATGCAAATATGTAATTTAACCTTTTAGGAATACATTGGTATTAAACCCTTTACCCTTTGAGAGTATGTACCACATATGCCCGAGCTAACCACCAACTCTCCTACTGGTTTAGGTTTTAAGAAGAATAACATTCCATGGGAGAATGATTTACTAAAAATCACAAAATTTCCTGGTTACTCGTGTGGTATCGAGGCACCAGGTTTTGCTTGCTGTAGTAATCTATGAAATAGGGGGAACAGTAGATATGAAGCTCTAACCTAGGTCATTAATCAGTATTTGAGAAGCAGATTTACAAAGACACTTATTTATTTTAGAATAAGCAAAATGCTACATAAGATATGGAACTCTTGGTATTCTCTTGTATCATGCTAGTATGCTTGGCAAGATTGTCACAGGCAATCTAAACAAATGTTCAAGAAAAGCACAGCTGGTGGATATGTGCAACAGAGTCCAGAAACTTAATTCTGGAATCAATTTAGACCTAACAAGCATTTTATCCCATTGCAAATTTCTTCCTCTTCCCATAAATAAAACCATATTAAATTCTTAGTTGCCTAAAAATGATTAACCTGGTGAATTCTATATTATCTAGCATAGTTCCAGGTAGGAATGTTATGGCCCAACTAATGCAACTACAGTTTTCACCATCTGTAAAAGCACTGAGTTAGAAATGTAGAACAAAGAAATGGAAGAGGCCAGGGTACAATACTTCCTAGATGAAAAAAAGAACTTGTTGGAAAAAAGCGGGGAGAGAAATGAATATATTTTTTTTCTTACACACGTCAGATACTACCATACAGGTGTTAAATGACATATTGTTCTCATCGAATTATGTTGACACGTGCATAGCACTGTGAAGGCTGAAGGGGCAGGAAAAATGAGTTTGACTTTCAACAATCTGGAGTCAAAGTCAGGCAAATCTGGATGAGGACATAAAGACTAAAGAAGAACTTCTGCAGCAAACTCCGATGGCTGCTGAACAGGAGGTATGGCAGTATGATCTTGTGTTTATAGAGCCTAATAGGAAACAGGTGAACTATCCCCCTTTCCTCTTCTCCAGGGAAGTTTTGTAGGATGGAGAAAAATGAAGTACTGGCATGTGAGAAGTTTGTGGTCTAAGAGAAGAGAGAACAAGTAAACGACAACAAAAAATTTGCACATGAATTACACATGATAGCTTCATCTAACTAACCTGATAAAATGTAATTTTCCTTAAAAGACATTATAAAGGCATAAATTTCTTGCATACAGTTATGTTCCTTATCATTAAGTATTGATGTGCAAGGAGCTGGTCCAAGTCAATTTCCAGATAACTGAAGTTAATTCCTTTATGTACCACCTCTCATCTTACTAGAACCATTCTCCATGAAAATCTAAAACATGCCTTGGAGAAAACCCTAACAGAACAGTTGCTATCGTCTTCCTCATTTTACCCACAGTCTCTGGTCCACAGTAGGTGCTTAATGTTTGCTGAGAGCTTCCAGAAGAGTTCTTTGTGTCATTAAAATTGTACTGTGCTATAATACAGTGAGTGATACTTTCAAGGACTATGCAGGTGTCCAGGCTTCTTTGCTTCTGCACTAAATGGCCTCAAACTCCTATGCTTTCTAGTTTTCCCCTCTTCTTTCACTGTCAGGTATTACTTCTTACTGACATCTGTGTGCCTGCCTATGCCAGCCCAAACACCTTAATGCCTTAGAATTTGTGCCTTCTAAAATGCTCTGAGTCAGAAAGAAAAACAACCAAAGACATTAGAGTTATGCCTAAGAAAAGAATAAACAGGATCAAAGTGTCTATCCTAGCGACTCCCCAATGAGTGAAGAATATCAGTGCTAAGGCACAGGCTTTGAGACATCTATTTTGATTGCTTTTTGCTTAATTTGTTGGTTATAGTTAAGTTCGAGATAGTTGAGGATGTCATATACATGACCTCTAGAAAGTCAGGTATGTTTCTACTAAGGAACAAACTAAGAAACCTCCCGCAAACCTCTTAAGAGATCAAAAAAATGTTTGCTTTATATCTTGAGCCCTATACCAGCAGGTTCTCTTTAAGGAAGGCATGCATTCTCAGTGGCGGTGATATAACCTCCAAAAGGGGAAAAATTGGTTCTTGGGAGGCAGGAGTATATACAATAT